TTTTCCAAAATACGTTCAATTTGATGGAGCACGTATCCAAGAGGAAGGCCTTGTGACAATGTACGGTGTCTGTGGTACCACAGAAGTTCAAAGACCGTCTCAATGACGAAGTCTTCACCAGCCCACGGCGTACAGATCAAAGCTCTTGTTCTCTGTGAATTCTGCCTACTGCTCTTGTCGACCTTGGCTGCGTTTGCCATCATGCTCGAAAGGGTCGTGTCTCGCATAACAAATGCACGACATGTCGAGTTTGAAACCATGCTCTGCGAAAGACCGTTCGTATACAGATTTAGTAGGGAAGCATCAAAACGATTGCATGCCAAGCGAGAAACGGAATTTGAAGTTTGTTCATGTAGGGTCTATCGTATTCTACCCACTGGGGCTTTTTTTCTAGAAAGTTAACATATCCTCACAGGAAGACTACCCGTTCGCGATATAATCTCAGTCGAAAGGGATGTGGTGGAGTCTGTTCAGCAAGTGGATTGAAACCGACTGGAGAATTGGCTCATTTGAGTTTGTGTAAGCCTTACATTGAGTTATCAGTGATGCCAGTTGGTGGAAAGGACAAAAGCATCTGCATAGGCGGATACATTCTTAATTGAATGTAGAATGCGGCCTTCACAGGGAACATGGCGCAGTGTCGTTTGACAACTTGCTGTTTTTAGAAAGTACTTCGCTGCTGTTTTAGGCGACTTGAATATAGACTACAGTACGTACAGCAGTAGGACTGTTGTATACCCACCTACAGCAGTACCACAAAAAATGAGATTTTTTTTGAATTTCAAAAGTTGGAATTGTATTGTAGAGATGAGTGTAGCTATTTCCCGCTCATTTTGAAATCTACAAAAATTTTAATGCTATGTTGTCCATCGTATGTGATGAGTGCAGGTGAAACGCGTCGAAGGGAAAAGGGATACGTAGGATATTCGGTTAGGAGTGCTTTTGTACCTGCAAATCGTTACAGCACAAATCAGTATAGAAGGCTAAGCTCGTGGTGCAAACTCCATGTTGCTCTACCACAGCAGTCTGCTGTACAGGAGTACCACGGCCACGTGTTTCTTCCCGAAAAGCATCTGCACTCGTCGATCGCTTGGCTGGCGGCGCGTGCCTGCGAGTGTCAAACTTTAGTTGTGCTTTACCTTGTACAAGATCTGTTTGGATGGTTACTGCTACATCGGGGCTCCTAGGATGCATGGCGTCCCTTGCACCTACAAGACAAGCAGTCGTATTGACTTGCCGATACGCTACGAAGTACACTAGTAAAACGAAGTACGCTGCTGTACTCCCACACAAACGGAGCTAGCTGGCATGGCCCAACGGCACTGCTGGCGAAAGCAATTTGGTCTCAAGAACTACTCCACCGAGTTTGGGGGGCTGCCTGATCACTACTGTTGACGTTTGGGCAGCAACCAACAAGCCCAAGTTCACCATGTGCATGCGATTGCCACTCCTAAACTACGGCTAGTGTCTCATAGCTATATCAACCTCTTCCCCGATTCTTTCACGTGTGAACTGAACGGCAGATATCTCCCACCTGTTGCTGCTGCTGTTGTGTAGAAGCTGCGCCCAACCCAAATCCGCCAAATCCTGCTGTCGTTGTTGCCTGTGCTGCGGCGGCGGGGGCTGTTCCGAACAGTGAGGGGGCTGGAGCCGCCGCAGGCTTACCAAAAGAGAACGCCATGCCTCACACAGACCGAATCCACGCACGCCACTGTCATGCGCCGCTTGTCGCAACTTCTGTGCGCTATGCTGTGTTTACTACTGCTGCTGCTGCTGTCCCTGCTGTATCGCCCTACTTTGGCAGTTGGCAGTCAGTTGGCGCGGAGTTCGTAGTGACGGCGGAACCACAAGGGGGGGGGTCATCTACTGCTGTACGTAGACCCATTCCCAAAAACAGGTCATGGTATGCAATGGTTGAGGTGCAGTTCGATTGTTGTAGTTCGATTTATAGACTATGCTTGTAAGAATATCGCGGGCGCTGACAGCAGTCCATTGGTCTGCGCCCGTCTCGAGCTCAACCCCGTTGCTGCTGAAGTTATCGAAACGAAGAGAGAACGAGTGCAGCAGCACGATCAGGTAGGGGAGCGTGGCCGCTGACAAGTTTTCGAGAACCGGACTTTCACGTGCATATGCACTCCGTCCTTACTGATCCGAATTTGTTGCAAGATAGACAAAGAAGGTCGTCGTGACCCCTCCCTTGCCGAGCTGTTGTACTGCTGTGGAGCCTGCACTAAGGGTGAGTGCGGGGGAATCTGTGTCTGTATGCAGATCGAGGGGGTCGTTGTCGTGCGTCGCTGTCTCCTCACAGCTGTGGAGTATGGAATGCATTCTCATCAAGAGAGAGAGGGGTCATCAAGTGAGCTGGATACCCGCATGAAAAATCTCTTCAATCTTCACCACACGGAAAGAGAGCGAATACCACTGCTGTGCTGCATACATATCTGTTGCAACAGCATCGGTACACCGCTAATTGTTGTGCGGGCCATATGCATATATCGATGGTGCCTGGGGTGCCCGGCGGACCAGCTGGAAGCTCTCTGGTGACCACTCACTGCAAACAAGGATGCCGTGTGCGCCTGTTGTTGTTCAATCCCCCCACGCGCGCCTACAAGCGCCGCCCTTGGCGTGTCTCTACAATGAAGATATGAAGCCTCTCGTGTGACGCACCAGAGAGAGCACCACTCGGGAAAAAAAGGTGGTGTGCATCTCTTTTTCTCAAGAGCTCTTCAAACGGCTTCGTCTCACACCACGGCTTAGCCGCGTCTGCCGTTGCTCTCTGGTTGCCTCCTATCAAAACGTGGGTCCATCCTGGAAGCGGTTGTTTGTTGTATCCACTTCGATCGGTGTCATTCAAAAACCTTGGAATCGCAGTAACAGCAAAGCTCACGAGGGACGAAAGTTTTTCTCTACCAAATAGATACCGCCCTCGGTGTTTATTTGTTTTGGCAAGGGCACACCGCCACTGCTAGTGCTGTTGGTTTTTGGTGTGACTGCCGAGAAGAGTTGTGCCGCTGCGCGGGTTGTTGTTGTCTGGCTTTCTGCCCACCGGAAAGAGCGACAGGGGGGGTGTGAGGGTCCGTGGAAAATGAGACTATTACATAGGAGTACTTGGCAAGCCGCCTTTTCATCCGCCGATGTGGAAGCCTCTTTCCCAGAGCATGAATACACGGCTGTAGCACCAGCAGGCAGCAGAAGCGTTTCCGCTACAATATTCCCGAGAGGGCAGCTGACTGCTCCGGGACGGGACAGAGGTGTGTGATGACCAAAGTTTAAGTGCCAGGTGCATTTTGTTGACTTAAAAAAGACATATCATAAATGCTTCTGTAGACTAGCGGCGGTTGTTTTGGGGATGAAAAGCTCATCTTTGCGACCGCCATCGTTCAGTGCCTGGTCAGGTGAACGTCATGGGACATTACTGCTGCTGTAGACTAGCCGATAATCCCCCGCGAGGCAGTCCGACAAATGGGAATGTTAATGTTGAGCACGATGAGCGGGCCATCTTGTGCCCTTTCCCCCCGCCGGCATGGTTGGTTGTGGTGCCAAGGAAGGGGCGGTCCGATCTCTTCGTTCCACCCCGCATACTGCTGTACGCCCGGCTGCCTCTATTTGATCTTTACACAGACCGTAGACTAGAGCACCGACCGGAGTCTTGTGTGGTGTACACTACTGTCGACAGACAAAGTATTACCAAACCAAGCAGTGTACACAGTGAGTGTCGTCAGCGAGTATTGGATTGTTCACGCGTGCAGCTGTTGCTGCTTCCGTCCGAGCTGTCCAAGCTGACACGGATGGTTCCGTGACAACAACAACGTTTTTGTCCTTGATGATGTTTGGTGCATTCGTTCGTACGAAGTATTGATTGTAGAACTCAACTTGTAGAACCCTGCAGAGGGCTACGGTGCTACACAGTATCCAGCATCCAGCATCCAGCACTTGCGTTCTCTTCAGAGGCGACAAGCAGCGTCAACCCAACATCAGGCAAAGGTATGCATGCATACGTGCGCAGCAATTCAAAGAGAAAAGAGAAGAACGGAACACACGTTGGAGTGGGATCAAGATGGCAGCTGTTTATGTCGACGGGGAGAGAGACGTGACACAAGTAAATATCCGGTCCGTTCCGTGAAGAGGAATGTTGGCCCTCGGGTAACACCGTTCCGTGACGTTTCACAACAAACCATGCGATTTCTTTGAGTGAGTCGTGGTACTCACCACAAAATCCAGCAAACGTACAGCGATGGCAGGGCTTTTTTGCTGGATGATGACTGATTTTCGCACAATTTTTAGGATAACAGTGTACGACACTTCAAGTACAGCAGTACGGCCCCGCCAACAAGAAATATGGAGATTATCCCGCTATTGTAAGAAAAACAATGGCTCAAACTTTCTCACGAAAACTCACGAAATTCGGGATAAGGATTGTGACATTGCTCAGCGGTGGACGCTTCGAACTCTGTACAACCTATACTCTACGGCAGGGACGAACTGAGAATTGGTCACGTGCACGCTCGTAGAAAAAAACATCTGCACACCATCGACAAGAAGCGCTGATAACTCGTGAATCAATGTTACCATTATCCAGGAAAGCTTCTCCTTTGACGCCTGCGACATCGACGTCCACTTGCACGCGCCTACCCCGTCGCGTTGTTGTGCCCTGCGGTCCTGCGTCGCCTTAGTTAGCACCGAAAACGAACACTCACTATCTCTTCCATTTTCTTTAGAGTGGGAGGTTCTAGCGAGCACGGCGGCAAAGGTCGGAGCTAACTATGCTGGACGAGGATTCGGCACCAGCTGCTGCCCCCGCGCCATCCTCGGTTGCTGCCCCGGCATCTTCCGCGGCTGCTCCCCCTGTATCATCACCGGCTGCTGCCCCCGCGTCATCCGCGACTGCTGCTCCTATGTCATCCCCAGCTACTGCCCCTTCATCATCCGCAGTTGTTGCTTCTGCACCATCCCCGGCTACTGCTCCTGTGTCATCCCCGGAACCACCATTATCGGCAGAGATGGCGCCTTCTCCGGAGGCGCCGTCGCCGGCCCCTGCCACGGCACCACACACCCCTCCGCCTCGCAGCCCTGGCCCCGCTGGCGGCCGGTTCCCCTCCTCCTCGGACAAGGGCTCCCCGAAAAAGCCACAAGCACCGACGCCCGCGGCTTCCTCGGACGGAGGCGTCGTGGCAGCAGGAGCACAAGCGGGAGAAGCAGGAGTAGCAGCAGTAACAACAACAACAACAACAGGAGGAGGACGAGGAGGAGGAGGAGGAGGGACATCACCCTCGAAAACCGGTCTCAGTCAAGCACAGGGACCGGCGCCGGGGCAGTCAGCCCGACGGTCGCGAGCGGACGTCCCGAGTGGCCCCATTCGATCGTCGCCGTCTAACAGCCCCCCCCTCAGACCGCTGTCAGGTTCGTTCGGCCCCGGAGCGGGGCTTTCGTACAGTGGGCTTGTTCCCGCCGTGTTGCCGTCGGGCGCCGTGGCTGGCGTCGCTGGACCAGGCGGCGGGGCTCTTTCGGGAGTGTACCTTGGCGCTCTAGGGTACGGGGGCCGGGGAGGCGGTAGCGGCAGCGCGCAGCAGCAGCAACAGCAACAGCAACCCTTGTATCCAATTTCGCTGCCGCCGGTATCCCCTGCGTCCGCGAGCTCGTCGGTACGTTTCGTGGCCGGAGTCTCGCCCGCCTCAGCGTCGAGCTCGCACCAGAGAGGGATGTTTTCGATGATATCTTCTGGTACCACCCCGCACGGGTCGGAGCTGGCGTACTCCCCGTCGCCGTCGGCGGGAGACAAGCTCCAAGAAGCCCAGAGGCAGCAGCGAGTACGGCTCGGGTCTCGAGAGCTGCAAGCCACTTCCGCGGCTTCCGCCGGCGCGGCAAAGAGCTTCACACGGCATCGGGCCTCGAGCAACAGCACCAGCGACAGCATCAGTCGAGCAGGGGGTAGCGGACGCGTGGGTGTCGTCGTCGGCAGCGGCAGGGCGGAGAGGACCGCCGAAGGCAACGACGTGGGCAGCGAGGTCGGGAGCATCGGCGGGATCAGCGAAGTCGGGGCGGGAGGCGACGTTAACAGCGTACACAGCGGGGAAGGGGCGGCGGCCATCGGCGACGGGGCCGGCGATGGCGAGCGACTCGGGGACTACAAAGCCGGAGACGGCAACGACACGCTGAGTGATGACGGCCGGCACATGGGAAGCGAGGACGGCGACACGGACGGCCTGGTCGGGAGCTCCTTCCTCACAAACTTCGGCGATCACGGCGCCGTAGCCACGGCGGCAGGCGTCAGCGTCGGCGTAGTCGGGGGCGGCGGCGCCGTAGAGGGCTGGGCGCCGGTAAGAGCACTGAGAGCCCCCCCCCGTTCCTACCGACACAACCACCCCAGGATCCAACCGACCCACGTCTCTCCCAGAGTGGGACCATCGAACCCGCCGCAGAAGCCCCCCCCCGCGGACGACTCAGGGTTGGGCGGGGTACAGCTTTTGTCTTCGCCGGGGGGCACCGGAGCTCTGGACGCGTTTTGCTCTCCGCTCTCGGAAGCTACGGCGGCGGCCGCCGGGTCGGAGATGACGCATGCAGGTGATTGCGGTTGTGTAGACTTGTGTTACGCTGGAGTACTGATCCGAAATTTCCAGTGGGGCGCTGGCTTGTTTGATTTGTGCCCTTATGTACAACAATTGAGAATTCGTGCGCGCGCGCCCAAGTCGCCGTCACTCGAACTGTTGCAAGCCCTCCCTAAGGGTACTGCGGGTAGGTGTGGGGGATGTTTCAACGTCATGGCTAGGCCCGGAACAAGAACACAAGCGAAGGGCAAGGTGTCATCTCAAATTTCTGCCACAAGTAGCCGTCACCCGGCGCGGTAGGCCAACGAAGAGCGGTGGAAAGACCCGTCGAGCAGGACGCGAGTGCCGCCCCGTGGCATACACGTGTCTCGTGTTTCATTTACCCACTGCTGTAATCAAACGCATCTCGTCCGCTAATCTTCCCAGACGGCCGTGGGAGAGATGGCATGGCCTGCACGGTAGGAGTATGTGTGTTCACAAGTAACATTGTCTCCCGCTTTCGAAACGATAGTCCGTGTTCCACGCTGTTTTTGCCGTTCTTGTCTTGTCTTAACTAAGACATTTCGTCTCTGCCTTTCGATAGACCAGCGAAATCGACCCCACAGGGATGGGTTCTGTTGGGTGAAGCGGAAGGACCCGTGCCTATTCTGCCTCCTCTCAAACCTCGCGTCCGCTTGTTCGTCCTGCTCTCCTTATTGCCCCAACCGCCTCAGCGAAACTCAAGACCTCGGTTCGTTTCGGGGGCGTGGGCGACATCCGGGCCAACTTGGGCAGGGCCGACAAGCAGCAGCTGGTCTCGAGGGATGGGGAAGGCGTTTCCCTCCTGATGCACGCCGCGCAGCGAGGCGAGACCGACGTCTTTCGGGTCGTGCTGGACATCCTGGCGGAGAAGCTGTCGGAGCAGGAGGCGAGTTGTGTGTCAACGGAACCGGCAACCCTTAGTTGCACGCGCTATTTCGCGGGACAAGTTGGCCATCGAGCAGGTCTAAAACAGGACCGATTACTTGCCATCTAGACTCTCTGAGACCCACGGTGTTTTCTTTCGTTTATTGGCGCTCTCCCACGGTTTTGCAAGGACAGCGACTGATCCGCTCTTTTGAGATGGTATCGCAGCACGAAAGGCCGAGAACCCCCCTCGCGTGTGACCGAGGGTGGTTGGTACATTGTCGGTTTAGTTCTCCCTTGTCTCCCTGACGTGTTACCTCCAGCGCTATCTCATTGTACACCGATTAAGGCTCGCTCGTGTCTGGCCAGAACCGAGCCGTTTGTTCTTGCCTGGTCTACTGGTATGATCGGGGCTGTGAACGTGACTCGCGTGGGCGTTTGTCGTTGTTTTTGGCCGTGCCCTTGTTTGCGGCAGATGCTTGAGGAGTTCTGTGGGCAGGATGAAGACGGCCAGACGCCGCTGCTGTTCGCAGCGAGGAGCGGCAGCGGGGCAGTCTTCAGGCAGGCCCTCAAAGCTCTGAACGCTCGGGCACCTCCCGAGAAGGTACATGTCGCCTGCATGTCAGCATTTAGTAAAGGCGTCCGTCGGTCCTGCCCTCAGTGTCTTCGGAGCTGTTGTGCGCCGAATGCTACACGGAGAAACGTCAAGAGAAAAAAAGAAAAATGGCGTGACAACGTCTCCATCGTGTGGGAGCAGCTGTTCGTCGGTCACCACGGCAGTCCATTTTGGACTCACAACTCGCAACAGTTGATATATCGCCGGCGTGTGTACAGGTGAGTCGCTTGTTGTTTCGAAAGGAGACCGATGGGTTCTGTGTTTCATTCTACTCACGGGTGGCCTTCCGGATGTGCGGCTTTCACTAGGTGCTCGAAGAGCTTACCGCTAAGGAGGAAGGGGACTGGACACCTCTCATGGCAGCCGCAGAGAGCGGTAGCGTGGATTGCTTCCACGATGTGGTGCGCGCGATACTGGAGCGAGGGTCGGAGGACAAGGTGAGAGAGCAAGAGCGGAGAGAGAGAGAGAAAGAGGCCTTCCGAAAACAAGGCGAAAATGTGTTCTTGTCGGGGGCATCAAGTTGGGGCCAGGAAAAGGGGTTCCGAACTACTGTTGTGAGTGTTTCCACTTTGAGGTCGAAAGAAGAAGGACAGTCCAAAGCCTCCGGCCCGAAGAACGTGATACTGTTCGCAGGTCTAACTTTTGAAAGCAAGCACACAATCGACCCACCCACCCCCAACCCCCCCCCTCGTGACGAATGCGGTCTCCCGCGTCAGGTAATGAGCGAGCTAATGACCAAGGACAACGGGGGTTGGTCGCCTCTGATGTTCGCTTCCCGCAGAGGAAACCGCTTTGTTTTCTTCGCGGCTTTGCAGGCGTTCATCGACAGGGGAGAAGAAGGCTCTCGATTGGTGAGTTGGATGAAGGGCGGTGTATGTAACCTCTTGGCATGCCGCCGCAGACACAGACACCACTGTTTGTGTTTTGGCAGGTTCGATCCACCAAACCGTGGACCATTTCTGTATTACGATGATACAAGTCTTGTCTTCGTTTCTTGCAGCTCCAAGCTTTAGGTGTGGACCAATAATGCCTCAACATTTTGGATGAGGACAAGAAGAATCGTCCGCGGAGTTTCGCACGGTGTTGTGCTCGTTCATTGTTCCCACGCAGTTGAAGGAACAACTACTGGCGGGCAGCGAAGACAGGGAGAAGGGGTCCATCTTGGAGTCGGTGGCTATGGCCGGGTGGTTGTCACGGGGTCCCCAGCTTCAGCCTGCGGTGTTGGAGTTGCTGGACTCCGCGTGGGACGAGCTTGAGAGGAGTGTGGACGACCGCTTGTTGGTGTCCGGTACGTTGGGGAACACGTGATACGCGCGGCTGGGTATTCGCGTCACGGGACAACACGTTTGCGTGGAGGCTGGGGTGTCTGTGTAGTCCACGCTTCTTTTTCTTGTTGGGGAAAAGTCTGTTGAGTAGTGCAGCATTGCTTTGAGACGTTCTCGCGGCAGGAGTGTTTCCTCGCGTGATGGAAGAATGTCCAACAGCTGTAGTCAGCCGAATTGTTTGTCGCCTGTTCAACCGTTACATCGTCTTTCGTGAGTACGCCAGTATTAGTTTTATATCTCTCGGCCGGTCCCTTTCCACCCGCACCCTCTTCTCTGGTGATTTCCTTGAAACGGCTGGCATGCGTGCACACGCCGTGCTCGCGGGATTTCCAGCCGAACAAGAGGCGTTCCAGCACGCCGTAAGACAGCGTGACCTACTTGGGTTGTCTTGTGTATTGTCGCACGGCTTTCGCTTGAGCCCGGTGCTCATCGAGGGGCTCGTGGAGTCGTGCGGGCCGCGTTGCGTGAGGGACTGCTTCCTGGAAGCTGTGGCTTCGGCCAGGTGAGTGATTTGGCGCGCTGCTTTGCTCGTCGGTTTTTTTTTTTTTGCGAACTTCGTGTGCGAAAGGAGGGAATCGTCTTCGACAGAGGTTGGGAGATTGTACCCTTTCCGTATGAAGGGGGTCGATCTCCACACATGTCCATGTTTGCCTAGGAGGTGGTCAGCGCCTCGTGAATTCTGAACCCCCCCTCCAATGCAGACGCGTGATGAATGGAACGAGAGCCGCTGTCTTGATTATCCCCCGTTTCCCGCTAACCGGGACACATGATCCCCTCGCCTCGCCTGTGTCGCAGAAACCCCCTTGTTCCTTCCCTGGGTTTGCTTTCGTCGGTCTCCACCGCGAGAAAAGAGGCGTCCTGTCCGCTACATGCCTCGTGGTTTCTCTTGATGCAGAACACGCTCGAGAAGCTTGTCATACAGGTGAGATGGGAGATGACAGCCAGGGGGACGCCACGCCGATATTGTCGGGGATAGACGGCGGTTCTGGCCGTGGGCTTGTCGTGTAACAGGGGCGGTTTTGATCTTTGCCGTCGTAGAGTAGGGCTAGAGTACGTCTGCTCGGTTTAGCAAGGTGTTTTAGGCAGTGATACAGATTGGTCATTTCGTGTCGTCATTTAGGCGTTCTATTAGTGCTGTGGAGTGGCGTGAGAATGTACGTGGCATTGCCGTGTCGCGTCTTCTCGTGTAACTTGGGGGGCTCTCTTCCGTTGCTTGGGGGATCCCTGGACAGGTACCGTCGCTTCCGCCGGGGTTCCCTCCTTCGCCCTCTCATCCCCGACACTCAATGAACAAACTCCGATACACACGGCATGCGCCTCGTTCCTGCCGTTTTTATTATCGCCTACCCTCACCAGGTTTTGACGAATCTCCCCGTGTCAGCGCGTGCCTTCAATAAGCGTGGGATTGGCGGCGGCAGGAGCAACATCTTCAGCAGGATGAACAGCTTCGCCCCGATGAACAGCGGCTCGAGCATGGTAGGCGCTGGAGGCGGCGGTGGGAGTGGCGGCGGTGGTAGTAGAGGTGGTGGGAACAATCGCCACCGACGCTTCGTCAAAGGCAATAGTTTCAACTCTGGGAACACCACCTCGGCAACGACAGGTACCTGTGAATTATTGCGCGGGTACCGTAAGGGGGGGGTGGGTACATGATTCCTTCTGGTGGTGTCGAGTTGCGGCGATGGGGGGTGATGCCCGCACATCAGGTTGCGCTAGCGTGGTCGAATGGCAATACGCACAAGAGGGTATGTATATTATCCCAGCATGGTGAAGGTCGCCCGAGACGGTTTCTGTGCGGTTGAGTCGAAAGCTGCGCCAGGTATAGTGTAAACGTATAGCCGTGCTCTATTTGTGCCGACGGCGGTCGAAGTTACGTTAGTCAGTCGGGTGAAGGAGAAGGAACGAACATTGCGCTGGTGCATAAACACACTTACCCCGCCTTCGAATCCACATACGAACTGTCTGGAGAAGAAGCAGGGTAAGGTACGAGGGATAGTTGGTCGCACCCTCCCACAACACAGGCCACCGCAGCTTTCGGAAACCCCAGCAGCAGACACCCGAAAGCACCAATCTCGCGCTCCGCAGGTGCTGCTTGTAGTGGTGGCGGAGGGGGGGGCACCAACGGGACGGTGACGACGGGGCCCCACTGCGGTACTGTACTCCTGCCTGGACTGGGACAGGAGGCAGGGTCTGGGAAGGCTGGCGATTCCAGATGTGGCACGGTGATCTTCAACGCCAGAGCCAAAGAGAGCCTGTTGGTTGCGGAATGGGTGTTCGAGCCGGAGTCGGAGGCGGTTGGCATGCGGGGTGCGGCGTTCGAGGGGCCTTTGGTGAGCGCTCTCAATTCCAGCAAGTTTTTAGGGAATACACATGCACCCATAGAAAGACTGGCCGTTCGAGTCGAAGGGGGTGGGTTGAAGTCTTTAGGAAGCACATGCAACGAAAGAAAGACTGCGGGTTGAGTCTGCGGGGATGGGTCGATGTCTTTGCAGTGAACGGGGGAAACAACAAGTGTTGACCCAGGCTGAAAGGAGGCGGTAGTCGATGATTCTTAGGAGTCGCCTCCGTCGCATCGAGGAAAACCTTGCGCAGATCTTGGTACATCATGGCGGGGGCGGAGCTGGGTGAACGTACTGCTGGTCTTGAAGGGTGTTGTTGTTGAGCGACTATCGGGGTGTATCGTTAGTTGACAAGTTAACACGTGCCTGAGCCGTTGCTTACCCGCTGGATGGGAGAAAGTTACCCCCCAACCACCTTCAATCAACGCGTCGCAAATCTGGTTTGGCACAACAAACACAAGGATAACGACCAGGTTCTGTTTCATCCTGGTGAAACGTATGTTTTATACAGCCTGGGCCGGCGACAACCCGGCATCATTATCGCTCTGTCCCGGAGTTGTAGGGATGCGAGGTCAATTGTCTAAGGACTACGGCATGCGCGACTACGAGTACACCCCCCCCCCCCC